GAGAACCCACATGGCTCATGGATACCGGTGCCACACACCATATCGCATCAAATCCAGGTACTCTTTCTCATGTCTCTTCTCAAGCTTTATTTTCACCTCATTATATCACTGTTGGTAATGGATTTAAGGTTCGCACTACGATGGTTGGTACCCACACCCTCCCCACCACCCCTACCCTTTCCTTACACAATGTCCTCGTCTCCCCCAATATCACACACAATCTTGTCTCTGTTCGCAAACTCACTCGTGATAACAACTGCACTGTTGAATTTGATGCTCATGGTTTTTTTGTGAAGGATCATCAGACGGGGACCGTGATGTATCGATCCAATAATGTGGGTCCCCTCTACCCTGTAGGCCGACCAGAACCTGCCCAAGCGCATGTCTCATCCGTAGATCATCAAACCTGGCATCGTCATCTCGGACACCCAAGCCCTGCAGTCCTTCGTGGCGTCTCTCATAATTTTTCTTTATTTACAAATTATCACCAAACTCTTTGTCATGCATGTCAGTTGGGAAAGCATGTGCGCCTCCCATTTTACTCTTCTAGTCGTGTTTCTTATTTTCTGTTTCAACTTTTGCATACAGACTTATGGCATTCACCTGTGCCAAGTATTAGTGGTTTTAAATTCTACATGTTGCTGTTGGATGATTTTTCTCATTATCTGTGGGTGTTTCCTTTACGACATAAAAGTGATGCTTTTACTCATTTAAATTCTTTTGTGGCATATGTGAAAAATCATTTTAACACATAAATAAAAGCTGTTCAATGTGACAACGGTACTGAATACAGAAACTCACCCCTTAAAAATATTTTTAACTCTTTAGGTATTCTTTTTCGCTTCTCCTGTCCGCACACTAGTCAAAAAAATGGACGTGCCGAACGCACCATTCGCACAATCAATAACACCGTTCGCTCACTCCTCTTCCAAGCCCAACTCCGCCCTGAATTCTGGGACGAAGCCCTGTACATGGCTGCCCATCTTTTCAACATCCTCCCCACCACCACTTTAAACAACCGCACTCCTCACTTTGTTCTCTTCAACTCACCCGCCCACTACTCCCTCCTCCGCGTTTTCGGATGCCTCTGTTACCCCAACATCTCCGCTACCGCTTCTCATAAACGTGCACCACGGTTCGCCCGCTGCATCTTCCTCGGCTATCCCTCGAACCAACGCGGTTATAGATGCCTTGACCTTCAAACGAATAAAATCATTGTCTCCCGCCACGTTGTTTTTGACGAACACACCTTTCCATACGCTCACCCCCTAACCCCTCCCGATCTTCAATTTNATATATATATATATATATATATATATATATATATATATATATATACACACACACTTGTACTCTTAACATATTCATTCAACGAAAATACAATTCTTCATGGTATCCGAGCCTCACTAAAAACCCTAAAACTTTCTCCCCCAAGTTTCGGCCTCCTCCTCCCTTCGCCGAACAGCAGCGCCGCCACCCCTCCTCCTTCTCCTTCTCGGCCGGCAGCTCCTCGACTCCTCTACAATGACCGACAGTGAAGTCACGTCTCAATCCTCCACCCAAAAATCTCCACATCTGGCTTTCTCCGTCTCCAACGTCAAACTCCATGTTCCAATTCAACTCAGCTTTTCTCAACCAAACTATAAAAAGTGGAGCCGCTTGTTCCTTCTCCTCGCACGGCGGTTCAATCTTCAGGGTTATCTCAACGGCTCTATTGCCCCCATCTCCGATGAGGACGACGAATGGTTCCAACTTAATGCCATTCTCCGGGGATGGATTCTCTTCACCATCACGGATGAGGTTTCAGATCTAGTTCTCTCCTCTGTCTCTACTGCTTCTGCTCTCTGGACGGTGATTCATGATTTGTTTCATGACAATAAACATGCTCGAGCCATGCAACTCGAGCATCAATTTCGCACCACCGTCAAAGGATCTACCCCCATGGCCACATATTGTCAAGAGCTCAGGAACATTGCAGATTGGCTAGATGACGTTGATGCCCCCGTGTCTGAGCACCAACTAATACTCCAGATGTTGCGCGGCCTCCCCGATGATCTATAAGCCCAAACTTCGTTTCTCTAGTTTCAGGATCCCATGCCGAGTTTTCTCCAGGTGCGGTCGGCCCTCCTCCTTCTTGATCAGCAGCGGACTCCTCTGGGCGGAACTAGCAGCACGACGCTGCTGGCGGGTCGGGACGCCGGCAGCTTCAGCAGCAGCCAGCACGGCGGGGGTGGCAGCCACGGTCCTCCTCACGGCGGCAGTGGGGATTGTTTCTTTGGTAGCAACTTCGGCGATGGCTCCTCCTTCGGACAACGTGGGGGCTTTGGACATGGAAGAGGGCGTGGCAACGACAATCGGGGTCGAGGGCGCTCAAACGGCGGTTCGAGACAACGGCCACTAACGGACGTCCAAAGTTCCTAGAACTCACCCTACCCAAACCCTAGCCCCGGAGTGTTGGGCCCCCGCCCACACCCGCCCCCTTCCCGTCACCCTACTATGCCCATGTCTACTACACACCCACCCAACCCCTAAACCCGCCCCCCTCAACCTACCCGTCGCCCTACCCCCC